TGTGGCCGCTCCAACACTGGAGGTTTTTAAGAAGAGATTGGACAGCTGTTAGTCTGACATGGTACAGGGTCCCCTGCTTGACCAGGGGCTGGACTAGAAGACCCTTCCAACTCTGTTATTCTGTATTCTGATCCGTTTTAATTGAAAGATTTCAAAACAAACTCAAACTCCAAGAATGTAATGTTTCTTGGAAGAGCAAGTGTTAAGGATCAACAGTACAGCTTTCCCCAATTGGTTGTCCTGGAAATGCAGGGAATTGTCATCACCACACCCCTGGAACGGAAGTTGGTTTGTTCCCGGTTTGGCCTGGTTGGTCCAAACATGTAGTGGAATTAAGGCCTGGTTCGCAGAAATGGCAGCGACCCAGGCCTGCCACGTCCCCGATCCGGTTCCCTCGTTGCCGCTGGGCCACCACCATTTTGGTTTTTAGTGACTGCGCGTGGGCAGTTCACTGTAAATTGTTCTGTGCATGCGCAGAGAACGATTAACATTAAACAGTGCAGGTGTGCATGTTGTGCGTCTCGTGAGCATGGGAGTTGCGAACCAGTAGTAAAATTGGCAGCAACCCACCCCTGCGCTGGAAAGCTGTGAGTTCTTTTTTCTGATACTTTCTGTAGCTTTAACAATCCGTTGTAGACTATTCCTAGCTATGCTCTGCAAATATCAATGCAATATAGAAGGTTGCAACCCTGTGCTAATATAACTGCCTTTGCCCCAAAGCTGTGGGGGTTTGTCGATATCTCCGCGCATTTCTAAATTCATTAGTGTTCAGCTACACGCGTGCATTTCAATCAATATAAGCGTGTGGTATATTAGTACTAATTACTGAAGCTATTTCATTATTGACGGATCATTGCCTACTAATCGCTGTTTTATGATTGATGAAGCCATGGGATTCATTTGCTGTCCAGGTGCAAATGGAGCTAATAATCTTTTCCTTGGGGTACAGAGATCAAGATCGGAGCTCAGCCAGGTTGGCCAATCCTGAGGCATGCTGGGAATTGTAGTTCAGCCACTTCGGGAGAGGCAACACCACGCATCTTTTGTCAGGCTGGACTGAGTCCCATCTCCTCTCCTGCAAAATTCCTTTCCTTGCCAGGACTGCATGACATCTGTACCAGTCCAGACCCTGTTTGAATGACAAGTCAATCGAATCTTTGTTTGAAACCAACCGACTGAATGAAGTAGAGCTTCAGTTCCATTTATTAGATCATAGCAGCCACAAATCTTTTCTTTGGACGCATCTTGTAACAAAAGCCAATCATATACCCCTCCTAAGGTATAGATACATACATAAGTGTATCAGAGGAGGGTTTCTGCCAGTTCGGCTTGGTTTGACCTGGAGCAGCTGAGAGCGAACTGCTACGGTGGCTCTTTTGCCCCGCCCATCCACCCATGCTCTATACCTGTTTTTATGGCAAAAGGCAAATTACACACAGTGTGCAGCACCTGCGTGAGCTCCAACAATCAGGTGGCTGTTGCAGGGATAGTGGATTATGCATGCGCACGCAGTGCAAGCCAGGTGCATGCACAAACGGAATGTGCGTGCGCACGATCAGCAAACCCAACAGTGAAGGTACATGCAACCCACTACTGAAATGCATGTATTTAGCAAACCAGCTTCAATCAACAATTAAATAGATATAGGTAGTCCTCGACTTACGACCACATTTGAGCCCAACATGTGTGTTGCTAAATGAAATATTCATTAAGTGTTTAAGTTTTGCCCATTTTATCATCTTTCTTGCCACAGTTGTTAAGTGAATCCGGCTTCCCCATTGATTTTGCTCACCAGAAGATCACAAAAGTTGATCACATGAGCCCGGGATACTTCAACCGTGATAAATATGAGTCAGCTGCCAATTGTCTGAATTTTGATCACATGATCATGGGGAATGCTGCAGCAGTTGTAAGAATGAAACATGGTTATATGTTGCTGTGCAGTTGTAACTTTGAACAGTCACTAAATGAACTACTGTAGGTCAAGAACTACCTGTATATAGATCGGGTTTGTGTGCGTTTGTGTGTGTGTGTATACACCCACACAAAGAGACACAGATCATCTACATATCTATTTAGATTATCTTTATATACACAGATCATGTACACCCAATATACATATATTATTTATATACTGACACAGATTATATTGTATTTTTAATTGCTTTTTTAAAAAAAGGTTCATGTGTGTGTATGCACACATACAGCAATTTTTGTAAAGAATTGCAGTGAAAACTATGTACATTTTTATAGAAAATGTAATATATACCTGACTGACAGATAATCTATTGAATTGTCAAATTACAATGCCAAAAGCAGAGAGTCAGAAATCAACCCACTAAAATTTGCATATTACGTAGATAAAAATCACCTAAATATGTCACGCATATGTTTAATAATAACATATCAGAATAATAGCAATAGCAATAGCAGTAAACTTATATACCGCTTCATAGGGCTTTCAGCCCTCTCTAAGCGGTTTACAGAGAGTCAGCATATTGCCCCCA